TTCCTTCCTTGCAAGATGTACAGCCCAGAACCACCTCAAGCAAGACATCTTCCTTCCTTCCCTCCTGCCTCCCTTCCTTTATTTATTTGTTCTTTTTTCCTTTTTTCTTTTTCTTTCTTTCTTTCTTCCTTCCTTTCTTTCTTTCTTTCTTTCCTTCTTTCCTTCTTTCCTTCTTCCTTTACTTCTTTCTTTCCTTCTTTCCTTCATCTTTTCTGTCTTTCTGTCTTTCTCTCTTTCTATTCATTCTAAGGCTGCACAGATCTCACTGCTTTCTTTTAAAGAGCAATCAGTGGCAACAGCAGTGCCCCCTTTCTAAAACAGCACCTAGTTCTTCGAACTGTGGTCCAGGACACAGGACTTGCAGCTTCAGCTCCCAACACATCTGAAGGTGGGTTGCATTGCCCCATCCCAGGAACCTGCTGTTACCAGCCGGCCACTGTGCGGGGAGGAAGGAAAGATTTAGGCTGTCAACAACAGGGCTCAGTACTATGGTACAAAGGTGGTAAAAAGGGACTGTAGCTTTTTAAGACCAAAATAAACCATTATGTTCATCCTTCTGCGTAGTCCTTCCTCCCACGTATCTCGGATATCTACCTGACCTGGGGTTAATCATTTAGTCATTCAGAGAAACATTCAGGGAAAATAAGTCACTGTCTGGGCAGAAGAACACATAAGAGCGGGTTTCATACATTAGACAGTTCAGATATTTATGTGGTTATTCATTTGCCTTCCTCCTCCCACAACTTGATGACCCTCTGTTTGGCTCCAACACCTTCTGCCCACAATTCTGAAGACATCACTGAATTGAACATTGCAGGGTCCTGAGGGGATAAGCGGGATTGTCCTCAGGTGTATGGAGGAGGAAGCAGAGGCACGGATTGACTAAAAGATTTGCCCAAAGTCACATAAAGAAGCCCTGCGAAAGCAGGAAATAAAATCTTAGGTCACCTCATCCTCAGGCCTCTGAATTCCCATATTGATGCTGCTTGGCCGTGTCTTTTTGCATCCCAAGATGCTTCTGCTGCTGAGATAGGGTGGTCAGAGGTGTTTTGCACAGGGACATTCAGGCTCTCAGCTTCACAGACAGAGCTCCTTAGGAAACAACGGCCAGCAGTGACCAGTGACTTGGAGACCTCTGCATTAGTGGGCAGCTACAAAGCATCCCTAAAAGCCCTCTGTAAGTCTCAGCACCTTTTTCACTGATAGCCAACCCCCCCCAAAAGGCTCCAGAGCAGGGTACCTTGAAGCACCAGCCATCCATGCCTCCAAGCCCTGCAGGGAAACTCGGGAGCAGGCAGGAATTAAACAAGCTGAAGCCAGAGCTTTGGTGACCTTGTGCTGCACTGAAAACAAAGTGGTTAAAATGCTCTTAAGTCACCATCCCCATGAGGTATTAGTCCCTATTAACCTTCTCTTGCCAGATGACTTTCCAGAAGGTCTCTTCAAGTCATAATGAGCTGCTTGTCTCCTGCTACCAGAACCACCCAGAGAGGAATGAGGCGACCTGACAAATATACTGCACTTTCCTGTTATCTTTGCTAAGTCTCTTGCATTTTTATATGGCACCTTAATAACCCCTCATTTCCATTACAAGTGCATGCTTTCCTTCTGCTTATCTGTATCTCTATACACTCCTTCTCCATTCCTGCAGCCACACCGCCTCTGGCTACGACCTGGGGAGCTCTTCAGAGCTCGGCCGGGTCAGGTCTGCTTAGTAATCCGAGGACAGTCCTATAACTTAGGAGGTGGCAGGACGTGAATCACGGGATGGCACTCTTCCATCTGCGTCAATATTGAACTCGGTGCCTTAAGTTAGGGGTAGGAGATGTAAACCCAGTGCCCTAATTTCATGGAGTCATTAAGAGATCGGCTGCAACTTTCTCAAGAGACAAACTCCTAACCTCAGTGCCCGGGGCCAGATCTCAGGTTCTTTGCTCTGCCTGCCTACATTCCCCAGGTAGTTACGATCAGATACAATCCTATTTGCTTCCTGTTGTGTGCTGTTAAGTGGTGGCTACACTCCACCCCTGGGGTGGCTGCATTTCAAAAGCAGGGGAGTGATTGCGGAGTATACAGGCTGTAAAAGGCATTGGGCTCTTTCTGGGAAGAGGAGAGCTGAGTATAATCGGTGCTTCTTAAGGCAAATCCTATCAATACTCTCCTGGAGCTGTAGGCTTTCAGTGAGGACAGTGGGAGTTTAGGTAACGGACCTGGGATTTAGGACTGGGGATCTACAACTAAAGCTGTCCTCCTGTAACTCCTTCTTCAGCTGCAACCAAGTCCTGGCAAATGCAGAAAATCTGCAGACCCTCTGGCTGCATTGCCTGAAGCTCCCTGGGTTTTGGTAAGCTCTGCACCTGTATGCACAGAGAAGCACCTCTGTTCTGAGCTAATGGCTCCTGCTGAAGCCCAGGGGGGTGAAACCCATGACCTGTGGACTCCTAAGCCAAGGCCACCCCTCTCATACCCACGCAGGAGAAGGTTTTCTGCACAAAGGCCATGGATGTCCATGCTTTCTTTTCAGTCCCAGCATGGCAAGGCACAGGGGCTCTCCATGGCGTTTGCAAACATCAATTCAGCACCTACAGCACCTTCCCAAATAGCCAAAGGCCTGGATCAGGTCTCTCCTCCTGAGCAGAGGAAGGGGTGATTCCCAGGAGGTGAGAGCTAACCTACCCAAGCAAGATGCTTTAGCCCCTACAGCTGTCAGATAGAAGGGGGAAGAAGAAGAATAATTATCATCTTCCTCTCCAGTCCATGGCACAGCAGCATATTAGAGGGTTTCAAGATTAGTTAGGCCACAACGGGAGGAGGTGGAAGGTGTGTCAGGTATGCCCTGGTCAGGCTTTATACCCTCTACCTCCCTAACAGAGGGTAATGGCATTCAACCCACCAGCTTATCTGACTGGCTTCTACGAGAAGCCTTTGCATTTCACAGACCCTGGGGCTGGTCATCAGTGTCCTTGGAGACGTCATACAAAGCTCCCCACCCCCAGGATTTGGTTTCTGGATCCCATCTGGTCTTAGGCAAGTGCAAGATGCCAAGTCCCCAGTCCTGTTAGAACTTGACTTATCTGTTCATTCTCAAAAGCTGAGCTTTCACACAGCTCAGGAACTGCATGGTCACCATTTGCAGGACGCTGGGATCCTCCAGGCTGGACAGATGCTGAACAAGGGGTTTTCAAAATCACATTGTGGAACTGAGGGTTCCTGCATTTTCCTTTTTCGGTTCTAGCCCTCAGTGACTTACTAACCTCACGATGCGCATTGACAACACGTTCCAGGACATTGCTCATACCTTCGGCTTGTAAGTTCATGCACATTATTTGATTTGCATATTGCTGTATTTGGTAGTCTTCCCAAAGCGAAGCGGTGCTGCACAAGTTCTTGCTTAAGCCTTCAATCCAGCCGGGACTGCTCTGCAAGCATGCAGTTTTGATTTCTCCCCAAGAACATGTTGGCTTTTTCGCTTGGCGTGTTAAACTCTCTCTGCGTTAGTAAAGCCTGGAAGCATCTAGAAAGTGAAGATTAAGCCAAAATGCCTGGGGAAAGCTCAGATCAGCAAAATATGGTGCAGAGAAGGTTTGAGTGGTTTTGAGTAGGCACCTCGTCAGCTGATGCAAAGCTCAGTAGAAGCTGGTGAAGCTGCATCAACTGAAAACCTGACCTTCTACCTTTCTGGATCCATTCATATTTCAACACTGTCCTTGCCTAATCATCTGAAAGGTTATCAGAGACAACATGCTTTCTTGGCTAACTGGTCTGTAGGCATGAGGTGAGCTCGTGCAGGGAATGCTATAGGAGGTTTAGGGGGCCAGTTATCAAAATCATTTTGTCGTCTTAGAATTGCCTCAAGGGTTTGAAAATAGCCCTGTTTACAATAAAAATGCCATTTTGCTGAAGCCAAAAAGCATTGCAAGTTTTCTGAGGCGTGGTGTTGAATTCCAGGGTCATTTCTAGTGAGTGAAGAAACATAATGAGACTAAAACTGGGCGGGGGGGAAGAAGGGGGAGAGATAAAACCTGATATTTTCGTATATTCCTCATTTGCAAAGCAGTTTGAAATGCTTGGGTTTCATTTTGACACAGTGTAGAAAAAGCACTGGCATCCAGGAAAGCCAGGCTAATGCCAAGCTGCCCTTCCCCACCCTGCTCCAGCTAGGATGAAAGTCTATGAAGGAAAGTCTCCACCGAGACTAAGGCTCCTCAGTCCCTACCCATGACATCTTTTGGCTGATCCCACCTACCATCCTGAGGCAATGGGTAGAAAAGGAAAGCTCATTTCCAGTCCCCTTGGCAGGGGCCTTAATTAGGTAAGTGAGCAAAACTTTGGATAGATGCGAGATACCATACATTGGACACTGTCTCTAAGTGAGCTAGACAGCCTAGGAAAAAGAAAATGGCCTCAGGATGGAGGGTGGGGATAATGTTTAGTTTACATAGTGAAGACTGGGGAGTATCTGGCCATGCTGGCATTTTCCTACCTTCCAGCCATGAGCAGCTCTCCCAGTCGAGGGAGGAGGAGGTACTTTACCTGGTGCTCGTCCCACCACTAAGAGTGGAGGCTGTCATTAAGTGTAGACCTGCATTTTCCATGTTATGGGAACATAGCCCAAATTCTATGCCTCTGAAGCCAAGACTGCAGTTCAGGGTATGGCTATGTGGTGCATTGCCTGCGAAGTAGCATATAGTATATTCTATATGCCACCTGAAACTCAGGTTTTTGTTTTGTCATGACCCTATCCTAAGACCTTAGGATGACCTTAATCAAAACTTCTTGGCTGACCTCAGTGGCCTTAAATCAAGCCTAGTCCTGTCTACACAGGAGCTTATTCCCTAGTATAAGAAAATGTCTTTGGAGTAGGTCCAAGCAGGACCACAGGGAAAAAGAAAGTTTCTTGACCTCCTGCCATGCTCTTGAGAGAAGGTGTTCACAGGGCTGGTCAAAGCCACGCGTGGTCCCTTCGCTGGCCACTATTCATTGATTTCTCTCTTTCACAGCTACCAGGGAATCAGCCTTTGTCCATGCCATTGCCTCTGCTGGAGTGGCTTTTGCGGTGACCAGATCCTGCGCCGAGGGCTCGGCCACCATCTGCGGCTGTGACACCCGCCACAAGGGCTCTCCTGGGGAAGGCTGGAAATGGGGGGGCTGCAGCGAGGACGTGGAGTTTGGAAGCATGGTGTCTCGGGAGTTTGCGGATGCCCGAGAGAACAGACCAGACGCTCGGTCAGCCATGAACAGGCACAACAACGAAGCTGGAAGGACTGTAAGGACATTTAGTTTCACCTTTCTCGATCTCCCTTTAATCTTTTCTTACCTGCCATAATGAACAGTGGGAGGGAACTGAGGGGAATAATCAAACATAAATCTGGGCAGTTTTACAGCATGAAACGATGATACCTGCCCTGTGATAGTTCTTGTCAGGGTGGTGATCAATGTACCTGATCTATGAAAGCTGTAAGTAAATTCACCCACCTGGATGTAAATGTCTACCTTGGAGTTAGTTGCCCAGACCTCTTTTACAGAGAATGGATCAAGACAGACAAGTCTAGGACAGGATTTCATCCCAGCTTGAAGAAGACATTTGAAATAAATAGCTCAGTTAATGATGCCCTAACTGTGCCTGTTCCCCTCCATTGGCTGTAGGAAGAAGGTGAGCTGTACAGCCAGAGATGTCTGCACTGTAGACATCTGAAGTTTAAGAGAGATGGACCAGGGTTTATGGGGAGGATTCAGCTGCTTAAGCAAATGCGTTTTAGTATAAACTGAGATATCCTGAAGTATCCAGCCTGTCCTTGGGCTGCTACTGGGAAAGACTGTGTCTCCTGCAGTCCTCTGCCTTCTTGGGACTGATGACTTAGAGACCCCTGGAGCTCACAAATGGCATTAGATGTATGTGTTTGGGCACGTGAATCCTAGCTTGAGTGCAACTGTCCATTCCCCAGGGATCACCACTCTGCTCTGTAGGGCTGAGGGTGGGGAAGAGCAGGAGAGCACTTCCCACCACGTCTGTTCTCGGCACTGTTCTATGTCCCAGGGAATTTTTAAAGAAAGTGAGAGGCAATGCGGCTCTGGTACCTCCTGATTAAACTTGGACCATACCCCAAAGCCAGCTAATGTGTTTTCACTTCAGTCATGGAACAAAATGTATAAGGGAACAGAAAGCACAAAATCTTGCACTCAGTGACTGCCTCCTACATAGTGAATCTTTTCCGTAAGGTGGAACAATCCCAACAAGAGAACATTCTCTTTTTCATCTCAAGAATAGCCTGTAAATGCCAGAAGAACATAATCTATGGGAAATAATTTGTGAACCACAAACCTCTTGCTAATGGAGACCATGCTGCAGCTTCTCTGAGATAACAGCATTTTTTCTCATGTAGTAAACTTGAGATAGCTTATCCCTCAGTGGAAAAAAGATACCCTCACTGCAATCAGAAGAGATTAATATGGTCTTGTTCCCTCAGCAGAAGGCCTTACACATATCTAGAAGGACATATGACTGTGCAGTGAGCTATAGCAAAGCCACCACATGTGCTAGGAATCATGAGGCAAAAAGGACTGTGGAGAAGCTGGATAGAGTGAAAGGAGGGATTTGCCTTAAAGTGAGAATCCTTGGAAAAATTGAGCTTTGAGCAAATGTCCCTGTGATCACAGGCCTGCAGAGGTCTTTTTACTGTAAGTCTTGTTACTTGACAGTGAGTTATTTTTGGACATTTTACAGATGTCAAAGATTAGAGAGCAGATGTCACACCATTATCTGAAATCCTACTGTTTTATAAAGCACTAGTGTTTTCCACCCTCACCGTGCCAGCACTCATGGGGTAGTTCTTCCAGGCCTCCATACTCAAGTGTTTCCAGCTAAACCTGAGCCATAGGCAATGTTTCATATTAGTTCCCATATGAACTCAAACCCTACCACTACGCCAGAAGCTTTGATTAAGTTCAGCATGATTATATGAACCAAACATTTTGTGGTTCTCTCTCATCGCTAATTACAACCTCCTTTGCGGCGGGTGATACTCCGTAAATAACACAGGAAAGCACCTGGTGAACACCAAGGTGCTGATTCATGGCAAATCTTTTGGACTCAGGCTGGCACTAGTCTGTTCACGTACCCGGAAATTTGCTGATCAGTCTGAAAATGCAGATTATCAAGTAAGTTGCATAAGGTTGTCTCCCACCTCAGAATACTGGAGGGCAACACCTCTAGAAACCTTTAGACTAATTTCATAAGAGTTAAAAGTGAATATCAAACTTCTGAGATCAATAATCAACTTTCCATTTATTCCAGGACAGTGTTTTATGTTGAAGTCTAAGCCTTTCAAAATCAAAAGTTGGGCTGCTATTGTTTTTTTTCTTTGCAATGGTTTTAGAAAAATCATAAGCCTGGCTTATAAATAAAAATACAGTACTTTTCAGGTTTCTGAACATAGCTGCAGCAAGGCTAGAACCTTGTTTGCTTAAGTAAACACGAAACACAGAAGATAGAATTCTGTGCTAGGTAATGAGGATGTTTCATATTTGTTTAATTTCCAGTGGAATAGCTGTATATTTCATTTACAAAGACATTGTTTTAGTAGGTTTGTGTGTTCTTCGCTTCTCTGCCTAGATATGTCTGAATTGTGTTCTTGGGCGATAGTACTGCAATATTCACACATGAACATTGATAAGGTAGAAGTCAGTATGCAGAGAAATCTCTTCATCCCTTAGTGAAAGCACTTGATAGATGCTTAAAGTTGGAGTGGGAATTAGAGATAGTCACTGAAAACAATAAAGTTGCAGGGGTTTTATCTGCCTTAGACCCAGCATCTGTGCAGGGCATTGACTGGAGGATAAGGTGATTTTTGTTCACAAGTGTGTAAATATATCTATGAAAACACTGCAATTCTTTAGGAAATCCTGGCTAAATAGCAGAATGCAATATGTGTTTTGATTACAGGCTAATGTCTTCTTCTTTGCCTTTCCTCTGCTCTTTTTCAGTCTATTATTGAACTCATGCATCTTAAGTGCAAATGTCACGGCCTCTCAGGCAGCTGCGAGGTGAAGACCTGCTGGTGGTCTCAGCCAGACTTCAGGGTCATCGGTGACTACCTCAAGGACAAGTACGATAGCGCTTCTGAAATGGTGGTGGAAAAACATCGAGAATCCCGTGGCTGGGTCGAGACCCTCAGGCCCAAATACAACTTCTTCAAGGCTCCAACTGAGAAGGACCTGGTTTACTATGAGAACTCACCAAACTTTTGTGAGCCCAACCCTGAGACAGGTTCCTTTGGGACCCGTGACAGGATCTGTAATGTCACTTCCCATGGGATTGATGGTTGCGACCTTTTGTGCTGCGGCCGCGGGCACAATACAAGGACTGAGAAACGGAAAGAGAAGTGCCACTGTATCTTCCACTGGTGCTGCTACGTCCGCTGTCAGGAGTGCATACGAGTCTACGATGTCCACACGTGCAAATAAAGCAGGCAAAACCCTTTGCTGGGCTCCAAGTGGAGAAACGGATTTGAGCCTACTTCCTCTGAGGTTGCAGACATGAGAGAAGTCTACTTTTTTGATAATAAAAGAATAAAAACTTAAAAAAAGGCTAAAACTGGTTGGATAGAATAGGTCTAATGACTTCTGGGCTATCCCAAGGTACATCTGGCAGTCACACAAGTTACGCCCAATGATGCCTCCTGTAGGAGACAGCAGTTTTTCAACCAGCCGACAACACAGAGCTGGAAAGAAGAGCATTAGCAAAAGCATGGATTTGCTCTGCTCTCACCCACCTGAAGTGACTCGTGTGATTAAGTGTCCTTTGAAAGACTTGCATCTTCCTAAGTATCTCCTTTTCCCTCAGCCAGGCAGAGGCTGTGTTGGACAGCAGCGCTAAGCTTTCCAAGATCTATCTACATACCCAAATGGCCAGACTCTGTGTATAATATGAGCAACAACAACAGCAGCAAAAGAAATAAAAGCAGATAAATTAATGATTTAAAAATAATGCAAATACTCTTTTGCTTTTGCCCTGGAACCAGACTAGTCTACAAATATATAATAGAGCTGTAGAGTGGGCAGGCTCTTCGCATGAACTTTGTAGCATAGTAACTTCTGCCAAATTTGACACAGGATTCAGTGACACCTGTAGAGAGGGAGGGAAGGAGAGGGAGAGAAAGAGAAAGAACCGCTGATGGTTTCCTACAAATGCCCTGTTGGCACACAGGTGATGTGCGCGGTACGGAAAAGTTCAGTGCCTGATATGTGAAGTGAAGAGGACTCAGTGCTTGCATTGAGGAGATAGTCCCACGAACGGAGATGTTGCTCCAGCTGTGGCCCAGTACATGGCTCAGCCAACGAGTCTTCCTTGGAAACATGCGGTGCAGAGCAAGTTTCCTGGGGTTGGACACTCGCTGCTAGATGTAGGACATCCAGCTCCTCGGCATCCCAGCTTGTTCCCGTAGAGGAAGAAAGGGAAAGTGTTTACCCCTCCCACCTCGTTAGAGAATGCCGTCACCAAGAGTGGAAAGTGCACTTAGTCCATCCGCTCTCTGCACCTCATGCAGGCTTCCCCTTGGGCACTTAGCAAAAGCCTTAGACCACAAGTCTGTCGGGAACATGACTCTGAAGGACTGCTTGTCACCCGTTAATTTACATGATGGTGAACCAACCCACCACCACCACTCCCCACAAGCTGGAACAGTTTCAGATTGAAGCCAAATTTTGTTCCACACCTAATTTCTACAGCCACCTCCTTGGGCAAGTTTGGACACAGAGCCAAATCCCAGCTTCGCAGTGCTGGCCCATCTCTGCTGTTCACCTCTGACTCCCGGTCTTTGCATGCTGCTCTACTTCTGATTTCAGATCAGGATTGCCAGTTTACAGAAATGGCTCTCACCTCCTCTGTGGGCATCAGGGCTTCCTTCAGCCACATGGGTATCAGGCATGAATCTCAGCCCATCACCTTGGTATTTACGACACTGTAACTCTGCCTGAGTTATTCCTGGTTGATACTGGCATAAACGAGTGGTGGATCAAGCATGGAGTCGTAGCCTGTTTAGCCTCAGATGCACTTGTCCTGTGTCCTCTTTGCCTGACTCATACCTTTGGGTTCCTAACTTGGGAAAAGGACAATGGATTGGCATTTTTTTAATTCCTCTTCAGTACAAGAAGGGAAATGGGGCACGATCTAACTTCCAGTGACCCATACGAGTCTTTTCATGACAATGTAATCATGGCTAGCTCACACCTGGACGTCTATGTAAAGAAATCAGAGTGCTCTTCTGTCCCTGCATGTCAGCTTATTCCTGGGGAACCAAAGGAGGGAGTATGCAGAAGAGGCAGGGAACAAACTTAATCCCATCAGAGAGAAAACAGGAGGAAATGATGCCTCCGAGGGTTGACTCTGAGTCATGGCGTCTCCTGGGACGACTCTTAGGCTGGTGCAGTTTATGCATCACCCATTTGTCTCAGGGCTGTGCCAAAGGGCACAAGCAAGCTTTGCTTATTGATGGAGGCACTTCTATCAATGTTCTGCAAAAAAAAAAGCTGCAATGAAATGAGAGCAGAGATACAGAAGGGAAGGAAGGAGAGAGGAAGAGATCAAGAGAGACAAAGAAAAAATGGGGAGAAAACCAATCAATCCTATCTGTACATGTAAACTTTGCACCCAATAGATGGCCACACACCAACTTGTAGAAAGCAATAGATCACTAAAAACTGAAAGATGGACCAGTTAATGGACGCATGACTGATTTTTGTAATACAGTCTGGGAGAAAAGGAAAATCTGATCATTATGGCAAATAGAGAAGGAAGCCACTGCAGGAGGAAACTGCCACAATAACCAATATTCAAACACAAGCTGTCAAGAAAGTAGATCCTGAAGAAAACCACATATGCGGTAGAAGACATTGATGAATAGGAAAAGATGGGACAAGGGAAGATACGTCTGATTTACTTAATATGATGCAGTGCTAGCAGTCACAGCGAGAGATGTTAGACACGTCCCACCAGGTACTTCTGTCAGTGAATGGTGTCCTGACAGCAAAGATGCAAATCATTCCAGGTCATGGTCCCTGTCAATCCATTGACTTTGGCAGGGTCACACCCACAACTAATTTTACCCTAATATTTTTAAGCAAGGGGGTTTCAAACTCCTTCTTTTATACCATACCAGTGAAGAAATGGGTTGGAGGATTTGGCTTCTGTGCATGGGAGCTGGACTCTGACCCCAGCCCATCCACAGCACATTAACATCCACCCTTTCTGCTTTTGCACCAGAACCCAACTTTTGCACCCAACATCACTAGCAGGTGAAGCTCTTTGGAAAGCACGGGGGAACAAAAAAAACAAACTAGGCATTTGCTGAGCAATTGCCTCTTAAGGTAAACAAACAGATTTTGACTGCAGCAGTGGAATTTATTTCATCTGGCCGTGTCATCTAGTCTAAGCTATTTATCTAGTTTTCTGCTAGGATCAATGGCAAGAAACAAATGAGTCCAGAAGGTGATTCACTATAGCCTAGGATGGTATCTAAGCTATGTTTGGTAAATTGCCCTCTAAGCATACCTCTTTCTTTCCTCTGACTTCAGCTGATGAGCTCATAGTGATGATGAGCTCTTAGATGGGTACAGTCTGATGATGTGAAGTCCACCATGAGTCAAGGAGGTGAAGCTACAATCTGATCATCAGCTGAGATGGGCTGGAAGTTGTACTCCTTCATTCAAAGCTGGGGTCAGGCTTGAAACCTCTCAGTGGTTGGGGCCTTCCACCCCATTCAAGGGATTTTTAACGAAGCCTATGCATACTTGTTCGGTTTTATTATGTAATTAGTCATCCGCCATGATGACAGAACGTAAGGGGTTGAGCAGCTACTACTAAAGTCAATGAAAAATGCCTGTGTGAATTCTGTTAATCACCCCAAGTGCATCTGAGGGTCCTAGTCCTGGGTCTGACTCTGTCCGCCCATGAGCAGGGAAGAGAGAAATCCTGCTAAGGGTCTGGGAACATGCTGAGTGCACATGGTAGGTCTGCCTCTGACCCCACGGCTTTGGAGAAAGGACTTGGGCCATCGCTTCCTAATACACATGAATTCAGGAAGTGTCTTTGGAAAACTAAGATCCCTCTCCACTGCCTACACTAGATGTCTCAAGTCAGGGTTGCCACTGTACTGGTATGAAAGATTGAGTCAAAGACGAGTGAGGTGCCATCCCTCCCTATACATCAACATGCCTATACTGGGCCTCACTTAGGAGATGGTCTAAATACAACCCATAGCTGTCTTCTGCCTCAGGTTCTCCCATGCTATGAAAATGGTAGGGGAGACTTAGAGTTTCACTCAATAATATAAGCGTCTGTTGACATTTTAGGTGCCCTATAACATCCCATTGGGATCCAGCTGTTGCTTCAGTGACATAGGACTCCCACAAGTCTTAAACCTGGGCAGATGTTTAGGGACTGTAGGGTGTCCAAATGACATGAGACGCCTATGTGTAGACAGTTGAATTGTGCACTTGTCTGGAAATGGTTTTCTGTCAAAACTTCCCCTCCACCTCAGTTGAGCTGGGTAATGCACCAGTCCATAGCCAAAAGGAAAAGATCATTCATTTCCCACAAATGGGAGCTGGCCAACTCAACCTCCATGATCCATGGTGCTCTTCCCTTCAGTCTTCACTTCTGATGAGGTTTGTCCTCAGGCAGATGGTTTGTATCAGGGATGTGTCTGGCAGTACCAGGGAAAAGAGAGAAGATGTCATCCAACCAAGTAACACAGATGTAAAAAATAAAAATAAAAAAGGAACATAATTCCATCTTCTTACATGCTGCTATCCAACCTTTCCTTTAGCTGAACAGATGGGTTTGATGGGCCCCATCAGTTCCATATCCAACCTCATTAAAGACAGTGGAGTTACCTGCAAAGGGTGAATTTGGCCTCATCTCTTTTCTTTCTGTGAAAGAAATGGAAAGTTTAGGAGTTTTTTTTCTTGTTTTGGTTAGTTTTAGAATTTGGGGGCTTCTCTTTCTCAGAGAAAAGAAAAACACGGGGAGGGAAATGAGTGACATTTTCTATTACTTGAGCCTTGATGTGTGTCTTTTGGCTAAATGTCACGCTCAGCACTGACAGTCTTCTCCAAAGCATTTTGAAGTCTCCAGAATTGTTTCCACTCCTTACGAGGGACTTCATGTGCAGAACTAAAGCAGTCAGGATTTAATCCTGGGAGGGGACTTCACAGACAACCACACCACAAAATGCAATATGGTACAGAAATCTCAGAGTCAGCACCAACCACATCAGCCCTGCAGACAGAAGTGCTGTAGTCTTAGCTGAGCATTGCAGGATTTCTGTATTAGCAAACCTCAGAGAGCAATTTCTCCTGCCACTCAATCTGAAATATTTTTGGTGTTTTCAGTTCATTCAGACACATTGCCACAGAGATGTCCATGAATTATAATACATTTGTCATGTGTGTTCATATCTTTGTCATGCCCCTA